CCCTACCCCCCCATGCTACCTTCACACCTTGTCTGGATACTCTGTGCCCCATCATTAGGGCTTCTTTCCTTTGAAGGCTTTTTCCCTCCTTTTAAAAAAAATACTTTTTTGGATTCCCTCTGCCCTCGGACTGGGGACCCATCTTACCTTGATGTGAATCATAAGGCAATAGACAAAGCCCCTTGACTGGGAATGAAGTGGGGATTATGGAGCAAAATAATTGGCAACATGTGTGCAGAATTCACTATATGCACCATTTTGATGCTTGCAACACTTAGTAACAGCCCTATGAGGGAGGAACTATTATTATTATGCCCATTTTTTTGCCTCCCCCAGCCCTCTCTAATTCAAGCTGGCAGGTCATTTCCCCTCCCTGGGCCTCAGTTTCCACACCTGGGAAATGGGCTCCACCTGCTATGCAGATGTCCAGGAGCTAAAGGGCAATGCTTGAGAGGGAAGGTGACAGTCACCCACTATGTACGTGAGATGTGATAAATTTTATATTATTGTGGGCAGGGAATGTGCCTGAGCTGGCCAGCGAAGCCAGGAACTTGAGTTTAAAAGCCACTGTAACCAGAGCCAGCTCCCTGCCTTCCCAGAGTGGAGCGAGAGTAATGAGAATCACTAGTATTAAGAGCTACAGCTCATTGAGTTGAGTTATTGCTCTGTGCCAGGCACCATTCTGAACACGTTAACCTTTGTTAATTCATCTGATCCTAGCAATGACTCTGGGAGGTAGCTGGTGTCATCCCATTTTATAGATGAACAGAGAGGCACAGAGATGAACGAGGCCCACCATCACACAGCTAGAATGTTGCCACACTGGGGTTTAAGCCCACAGTGGGCTGGCTTCAAAAATCCCATACCCTCATCAGCTTTCTTGAACTGCCTCTGCAGAAGTCTTTAGGGTTGGAGGTGCCAGTGCCCCAGATGTAGACCTCTCTAAGACAGGAGCCTCTTCTGGGCTCTTTGGCTTCTCATACCTACCACCAGGTGAGGCTTAGGACTGGCCAGCTTTGAGAAGGCAGTGCAGGGCAGGGCTTTCCAAACTTTTATGTGTACGCACATCACCTGATTTTTGTTAAAATGTTCGGAGACTGAATCAGGAGGTCTAGGGTGGGATCTGAGATGCCACACTTCTCACAAGCTCCCAGGAGATGCTAATGCTTCTAGGCCACAGACCACACTTTGAGTAGCAAGGCCCTAGGTGGCTGGCTGCCTACCTGCTCTGATTGCGTTATCCCAACAAATAGCTTTCTGAACACCTGCTGGGCACTGGAGGTGGCACAAAGGAGGGCAGAGGGGTGGCCCTCATCAGTCTGTTTCCCGACAAAGCAAGGCTGGAAAATCCCATGGCCCCAGGATTTCAGTGTCGTGGAGGGTGATGCTGATCACATGCCTGCCATTGTAATGACAGTAACAGTGCTGTCATTTGAGTGTTCGTGGGTACCAGGCACCTTCGGTGATTTATCTCACAGAATCCTCTGGACAGCTTATCAAAGCAGATGTTTTCATCCCCATTTACAGATGAGGAAACTGAGGCCTGGGAGGGGACATGGCTTGTCCAAAGCTATGCAAAATCTGACAGCCTCAAAGCTGTAGGCAGGAGAGTGAGATGACCCAAGTTGGAATAGCCCCTTTCCTGATGCAGAGGAGAAATGGGCTAAATCGCCAACCAACTTTTTTCTTTTTTATATTTGAATGTTAATTCAGTTTCAGGCACTGTTCTAACCACTTTGCGTATATTAACTCATTTAATGCTCACAACAGCCCTTTGAAGTAAGTCCTATTATTAGTTTCATAGACATAAAAGGAAACTGCAGTTCAGAGAGGGGAAGGAACTTGCCAAAGTCACACAGGCAGAAAGCAGCAGAGCTAGACTTGAACCCAGATCTACCGAAGACTGAAGCAGACACCGTGAAACGGCTTTGCTGATTTACAGCTCTCACCCTACTTTGTGGGGGGAGGAGTTGGAATCAGGATGGCCATAGGCTTCGGATAGACTGAGGGTGGCTCCCTGCCTCACCACTTAGCAGTTACAAGAGCTCAGATGGATAATTCCCTGAGCCCCAGCTTTCCTCTCTGTAAAATGGACTGATAAAGCCAAGGACATGGTGCTCCTGGGGGAATGGATGTGCTGGTTGGTGTTTGTGAAGCGCCTGGCTGGCACACAGCAGGCGCTCAAGGGTGCATTTCCTCCCTGGGGACCGCAGTGGGGGCTGCGGTGAACTCCACCTGCACCGTCTTTCTCACTCCTGTCTTCTGGCCACAAAGCCCTCTGTGTTAGCACTGCTTTGGGCTTTCGGTGCTTTTCTGTTACCAGAGCCACCTGCTAAAACAAAAATGCCCCTGTCTGGGAAGAGCCCTCCTGCCTTACCCATTACAGTTCACGTGGCGGGTGGGAGGGAGGGGGAGAGTGAGATGGGGTTTCATCGAAGCCTTTTGTTTGACAAAGAAGCAAGGACCAGAGAGGGGAAGTGCAGTATCTGTGGTCACACAGGAGGTGAGGCAGGCCCGCCAGCCTTTTGATTCCACCTGTGACCTCAGGGTGGGCTTGGTCTGGGTGGGAAGGGGCGCTGTGAGCTGGGAGAAACATGTCCACCTGCCCTTTTGTTTTAGGGGGTACCTTGGATTTGGACAGGGGAGAAGAGTAGGCCAGGGTGGTCAAGGTGAGGTTCAAGCCTACATTTACCCAGAGTGTCCGGGGCAGGCTCACCCTCACTCCTTAGGGGCCTGAAGCCCCAGAGCAGGAAGGTGGGGGAAGAGACAACCTCTGGGGTTCTTGAGTGAGTTGCTTCTCTGTGCCTCAGTTTCCCCAGTTATAAAATGGGAATCATATTCTTATCTCCCCTACATAAAACACCAAGCACAGGCCTGGCTCAGGGAGTGTGCGAATGTTAGCTGCTATTGATCATGATTAATAGTCCTGTTTAGATTTTACCAGCATTGACTCAGCACTGATAGGCAGGATGAAGGGAGTGTGTCCTGGTGGTCATGACCTCCCACCTTAGAGCTTCCTGGCGTGGCACTCATTAGTCTGTGCCCCAGGCTTCCTGCGTGGCACTCGTTAGTTTGTGCCCTAAGGTAAGTTGCTTAACCTCTCTGAGCCATAGTCTTCTCACCTATAAAATGGGGGTAACTGCGCTGAGTCCCTAGGGTGTTGTCCCGCAGGATGTCCCCTGGCTGACGACGCACCTTGCCTTCCGTGAAACCTCTGGGGAAGCTCACAGAGGCAGCAGAGAGCTCGGTTGGGCCCCAAGTCAGCAGGAGGCACTGAGGGACAACAACTAGGCCCCTTCTGCTCTGTACCTTTCAGCTATAGGAGCCCAGAGGACTTCCTGGAGGAGGAAACAATGGCAGCCCTAGGGCTGCTCTGTCTCCTGGATTCACCCCTCAAGTCAACTGAGAGGTCGGGCAGCACAAGGGCATGGACCGCTGGCTCTGCCCAGTTCAATGTCAAGAGCAGGGCTAAGAAGGGAAGTGGGCACCTGTGGTTCATCCAGGTTCTGACAGCACTGCCTGGGTTCTGGGGGCTGGTCAAGCATCCTGGAGACTCTGCCCTACCTGGATCCTCTGGTAGGTCCAAGTGGGTAGGTGAGCCCTTCCTTGCCACAGGGAGAGGACACAGCTGTGCTGACACAGGACATTAAATACCTACTAGATCTTCTTGCTGTGTGGGGCACTGTCCTAGGCCCTGAGGGCACAAGCCTGATGGCACAAAGTCCCCACTTTTAGGGAACTAACGGTTGGACACAGACATAGTCAAGTAAGTGAATTGAAAAAAAAATCAGTAGGATGAAAACAAAACAGGTGTGTTTGGGGGCCTGGGGAGAAGTAGTCTGAGTCGGGTATGCCTTGAAGGTAGACAGACCCGCCAGTTGTGAGCAGGAGTCAGATCTGGGAGCATCTGGCCCTGGAGTCCAAGACCTGGCTCCCTGTCCTGGCTCTGCCACTGACACCTTGGGTGAGTGAATTAGCTCCCTGGACCTCATCTGCCTGGCTGGCATCTCCTGAGAGCAAGGACTAAGCGTGTTTCCCCATGTCCCCAGTGCCTAGCACCTGGGTGGGAGGGGTCAGAGATGGGCAGCTTAGTAAATATTTCTTGGTAACTGGGGATGCTTCCTGTTCAGACCTGGAGGATTTCCTGCAGCTCTGCCAGAGGCTTACTTGTCAGCGTCATAGAACGCGAGTGCAGGGGAGGCAGCTGAGTTTCCCCCCCAGGGCAGCCGAGAGGCCAGGTGCAGGTCTGGAGCAAGCACCTGGGAGGTGGTCTGGCCTGCGGGCAGGACTTGGATTAGAAGTGGAGGGACTTGGGTTCTAACCCAGCTCTGCCACTATCGGTCTGTGTGACCCTGGGCAGGTCACTGGATTTCTCTGAGCTCAGCTTGGCAAGTCCATTTCCCCAGCTAAACAGGGGCTAATGTGTCTCTTGCCTAGGGTTTAAGATTAAATGAGATAAAGGATCTGATAATGGTGTATAATTTACATCTGAGGCTAGGCCTGCAGAGAAAGTATAGCAGGAACTCAGGATTCAAACCCGGGTTCAAATCCTAACTCTATCACTGCCTCTGTGACCTTGGATACTTTTTTGAGCCTCAATTTCCTCATGTGTAAAATGGGAGTGAAGTCCCTACCTCCCTGGTTGTAAGGATGAAGTAAGATGATGCATGGAGACGGTCCAGCACACAGTAGATACTCGGTAAGCGAGACGTCTCTGCTGTTCTTTCCCCCAAATGGGGCCAGCAGAGCAGGGTCCTCACCCCAGTTTCTGAGCTTGCACCCCATGGTCATCTGGGGCAGGCTGACAGAGTTCTCCGTGGGTAGTCTGTTTTTCAGAAAGTTCAGTGGGAGGCCAGCCTGAGCTTGGACCGCCTCTAGCGATGGCTCCTGGCCTCCGTTCCTCCCCTAAAACGTGTCTAGGCAGCTTCCCAGGAGGCCCTGAGGAGGGCTGGGAGCTGCAGGGCACGGTGGGCAGCAGGCTCTGCTTTCATTCCCCCTGGGGCATCCTCCCTCCCACATCCTGCGGGCTCTCCAAGGCCTTTCTATGCTGTAGTGCATCTCCCATTCAGACCACTGCGTCGGCTCTCTGTCCTCTGCTCTGACTTCCCTCCAGCCTGCTCTCCACATGGCAGCCAGAGAAAGCTTTCAAAAGGTGACTCCCCTGTGCGAGACTCTTCATTGGATCCTCCTTCTCTGTGACCTGTGAGGTCTCCCTGCCCTCAACCCCCCTGACTCTCCATTCTCATCTCTCCCCACCAAGTCCTGACCCCTTGGCGCATGCAGTTCCCTCTGCCTGGAGACAGCCCTCTCCCTCCTTCTTCCCCTGGCTGACTCCTTTGTCTCCTTCTCCGAATGACCCCCTCACATACCTCCTCTCCCTCATCATTTAAAGGTGCCCACATCCTTCCCATTCTAAAAAGAAACAATTCTCTTGCCCCACACCCACCTCCACTCCTCTCCTAGGCCCTTTCTTCCCCTTCAAGGGTAAAATTTGGGAAGAAATAGTCCCCATTTTCTTATCTGACTTCTGCCCCCTTGGACCTCTAGAATGGTTCCTCTAGGGTACTGGTTCTCAACCTTGGCTTCATGTTAAGAAGAAAAAAAAAGATCATTCTTAAAATAAAAGCGCCCAGGCCCACCCCCAGGGATAGTGACTGACTTGAAGGTGGGCCCAGGTGCACATACCCTTCCGAAGCGTCCCAGATGCTTGTTGTGGGCGGCCAGGGTTGAGGGCTGAGGACCACTCCTCTGGGTCCCAGCGCCCTGTGTTCTTCAGCCCAGGGACTGTTTCTGCTCTTCTACTCCTTGGCCTCTAGTAGGACCTGAATATATTTGTTTCCTGTCGCTGCTATAACAAATTACCACCACGGGGTAACTGAAAATAACAGAGATTTTTGTTTTCTCACAGTTCTGGAGGCCAGAAGTCCAAGATCAAGGTGTTAGCAGGGCCGCATGCCCTCTGAGGGCCCCAGGGGAGAGTCCATTTTTTGCCTCTTCCAGCTTCTGGTGCCTCCAGGCGCCTGTTGGCTTGTGGCCACATCCCTCCCATCGGCCTCCATGGTCCCTCTGGTGCTGCTGCTTCTTGTGTGTTTCTCTCAAAACTCTCTGCCTCCTTCATAAGGAGACAGGGGATGGGGTGTAGGGCCCACCCAGATCACCCAGGAAAAACTCCTCCTCTCCAGATTTTTAATCCCATCCTTTGCCCTGTATGGTAGTCTATGTTCTGGATGTTAGAATGTAGATGTCTTTTGGAGGGGCCACCATTCAGCCCTCTACACCGACCTGGGGAGGGGGACACTCCCCTCTTGAAATCTGATCACCTCTTGCCTTCTTCACAGCACGTGCTCCTGTTTCCTCCCCCACCTCTGGTGTCTCTCCTCTAGGCTCACCCACTTCTGCAAGCCACTGGGTGCTGGCATTCCTCCAGTCTTTGACCCCACGCTCTTTCCTCAACGTTCCTGTCCTGGGTGGGCTCATTCAAGACCACAGCCTCAGTCCCCTACACTCCCACTTACATCTCCAGCCTGGGTCTCTGAGAGCTCCAGACTCGCACAGCCACTGGCTCCGTCCGTGTGCCTTTGGAGGTCTCAGAGGCATCCCGGCTGCACCTGAGAACAAAGTGACCCGGCTTCTCTCCCTGCACCCGCACCCCTCCTCACCCCCTGAGCACTTGGCTTCTTCCTGGGCTCTCTGTCTCTGAGCATGAGAATCACTCCCTACCCTGGCCCAGCCTGAAGCATCATCCTTTACCCCACTCTCTGTCCACCTGCCTTGCCACATCTGCACTGCCACCCTGGTCCAAGGTACCACCGTCTCTCATAAACTTGCCTGCAGTAGCTGCTAACTGGTCTTGCTACGTACTGTTCTCCTGAGCTTCAAGCCTGTCGTGGCTTCTCTATGCTCAGGTTAAAACCCAGTTCTTGTGCTTCTGCAGTCTCTCCAGTCCTGTAACCGCTCCCCGCTCTGAACCCAGATTTCAGCTCCTCTCCTACGACATGTTCTCCACCACCGCTCAGCCTTCGCACGTGCTATTCCCTCTGCCTGGATGCTCTTCCTGCCTCCCTCCTCAGCCCCACCTTTGCCTGCTTGGTTCCTCTTCATCCCTGAGATCTTATTTCAAGCTCTGCTTTCTCTGGGAAGTCATTGTTGGCCCCCTAACTGGGTGAGTTCTTTTGCTTGTTGCCTCTTGTAAGTCTGGGTTTGTCTCCTAGGAGTTGGGATTGTACATTTATCACTGTGACATTTACTTAATGTCTCTCCCTTGCTGGACTGTAAGAATCACGGGAGCAGGACTCTGTCCCTTTAGTTTACCTCTCCGTCCCTACTGTGCCCAGCAGGGCCTCAACGATTTGGTGAGTAAAGGATTCTTAGTTGATACCTGTTGAGTGTTTGCTATGGGCTGAGTCCCGGTCTAAAGCATGCGCTGCGCATTCACGCATGAAGCTTCACGAAGCCCTAGGAAGAAGGCATGTGATCCTCCGACTGCACAGATGAGGTCATGAGGCCCTGAAAGCAAAGTATAACTTTTTCCAGATCGCCCAGGGAGTGAGTGGCAGAGCTGGGACTGCAGCTCTAACCCTAGGGCTACCCTGCCTCTCTGGCTGGATCCTTGCTACAGCCCTGTGAAGGCTAAAGATAACAAAACGGAGGCTCCGAGAGGTGAGGTCAGCTGTCTTAGGTCGAACAGCTGGTCGGCAGTCCCCTGCACTGGAAGCTGCAGTGTTCCCAATGCAGAGCACTTTTTGGGAACCCAATACACATTTGCCTGAGTGGGCACTGAACTCATTTTGTCAGGAAATCCAGAAGCTCGCTGGACACTGAGGCTGGGTGTGAGGGCTGCTCCGTCCCTTGCGCCTGAATGACTTCTGAGAGATCTGATTACTCGGATGTCTGCTGACAGGAGGGCTTGGTGGCCCTACCCCGCCCTCACCCCGACCTCCCAGCACGGGCCCCAGGCCGGGTCTCCTCCACAGGAGGCAGCCCACGTGGGCGCTCCCAGGATGCTCTTGGGCCAGCAGCTCCAGGGCCGGTCCCTGCCAGCCAGGGCTCCCAATTCCTTGTCCAGGCCCCCAGGTTCCAGAGAAGGCCCCACCCTGGTAGAGATGTCACTTGAGAGTTTCCTGGATGTCCCCCATGACCTGGAACAGGGAGATGGCGCTGGCTTTCCCACTGTCCCCCAGCACCACTGTGCTTCTATTAACAGCCGGGGGAAAGTGCCCTGGCTGAGAGGCAGGGGCTGTTTCCCGTGGGCCCTACATGCCCACCTACACTGTCTTTCTAAATCCTTAAATTGTTCTTGGACAGGGAGGCATTCTTTGCAGCTGTTTTCAGTTGAGGAAACTGAGGCTCTGAGAGATCAAGTGTCTGGTCTAAGCCAGAGAGGAGGCAGAGCTGGGAGTCAAGCCCGATGAGCGCTCCCAGAAGCCCTGTCCTTAACTCGTGGCTTTGTGTGCAGCGCGTTGTCCGTGGGGCTGAGCACGCAGGAGAGGATCACCAAGATGGCCAAGTGTCTAGTGCCCTTTCTAGAGTCCTGGAAAGATCTTGCTGCCTATCATTGATTGCTGACAAGCTATGCTTAATTTTGAGTAACACCTGCTTTTGGAAATGGAGGCAGACTTCTGAAATATATTGTAGTTATCCACTAGTCCAGAAAGCCTGTGTGGTAACCCTTGTGAGAGTTGGGCCTTGTTTAGTGAGGTGGCTGAGAGCAGGGTCTGCCTGCGTGGTGGCTGAGGCCCTGTCGCTCCTATAGGACTGGCCTTGTGTTTAAAGAGCAGAAGCTTTGGAATTAGGCCCAGATTAGAATTCCAGTTCTGCCAGTTACCAGCTGTGGTTAAGAACAAAGACAGTGCGTTGGGTTCCTGTTTTCATTGCTTCCTTGCTGTGTGGCCTTGGACAAGTTACTTAACCACTCTGAACCTCAGTGTTCTCAACTGTGAAAGAGATAACAATAGCAATTAAACCCACCCCCTAGACAAGGATTAACCAAGATGATGCATAGAAAGAGTGTAGTGAAGGGTATGTGGTAAGTGTCCGGTAAGTGGCGACTAATGGTTATCACAGTTAATATTAACAATAACCCTCTGAAAGGTCCTTCAGGCATTCATGGGTGTTTTCTCTCTCTCTGTCTTTTCCCTCTGCCCCCTTGCAGGTGGAACTACACGTCCACCTAGATGGAGCCATCAAGCCCGAAACCATCTTATATTATGGCAAGTAAGTCCACAGATAAGGCCTTCCTCCCGCAGGACTGGGTTCTCAGTTTGACCCAGAGCGTCTGGAGAATTCCAGGGCTGCCACTTTTTCCTGTATCCCTGAGGAATCAAGCCAGCCCTCGGCCTAGAAAATGGTGCTCTATGGGACATGGAGGCCTCAGCTCTGAGCTGGAGACCCACAGCCCAAGTCTTCTGCCTTCTGTGCCTGTGACTCTTGTCTGCTTGCTGCCATGTGAGCCAGGAGGAGCTTACCCCACTTTACACACAGACACGCACACACACACACACGCACACGAGTGAAAGCGGTTCCCAGGGCTGAACCAGTCACTGTTTTTTTTTGACTCAGCTGAGAGCCTGTGGCAGCTGATGCACCCACACGGGATGCTGGTACCACTTGTTGAGCATCTCCTGGTGCTGGGCTGGGCTGAGCCCTCTCCTGAGTCAGTGAATTTAATTCCTCCACAGTTGCAGGAGGAGGGCATTACCATCCCCATGTCACCAAGGAGAGAGCAGGCCCAGAGAAGTGAACGCAGTTACTCAAGGTCACACAACGAGTAGAGTCAAGAGTTGACCCTGGGACATCTGGCCCTCCAAGCTTTTCCTAATCATCATGATAACCTACTGGGAGCCGTGGAGAAGTGGTGTCCCCTCTCTGCCCAAATCTCCGCATCTTCCAAAGGAGAACTCACCTCCTGCCTCAGCTATCATGGATGCTGGTGGGCTGACATGTCCCCAGCACCCCAAGTGAGGGAGGTCCACCCGCCCTCCCAACACTTCACAGCAGTGCAATCCAGCACAGGATGTTGGAGGCTAGTGGATTCAGATTCAAATTCAGACACTGTTCCCTTGCTGCGGTCTTGGCCTTTGTAGATTGAGGGTAAGAGCAGGACCTTCCTCCAGAGCTGACCTGGGAGACGGGGGCCCCCCTTCCACCCACCCCTCCCTTGGCAGACCTGTTCCTTTTGGGTTTGTTCTACACTCGTTTTGTTTGGAGCTGGAAGGATTCCACCTCTCCTCGTTGCCTTGAGCATTTCAGCTCTGGACTCAAATTTGAACCCTCTGCTCCATAAGCCAGAATCCCCTCAGTTATCCAGACACCTGCTCCTTGGAAGAGGCCTGGTGATCCTTGCGAGTTTGCCCCTGACTCTCAGAAGCCTCTCTTCCTGAGAGAGTTCAGGCAAGAACACATTTCTCCATCTTGTCGCACTTCCAGAGACCTTTTTGTGCCCTCGGAAGCTGTCATTGATTTGATTTTTATTTATCTATGTGACGTATGTGTGTTAGCATATACTCCGTGGCCAGCGTGGCTCTAAGTGCCGCACTGGGTTGACTTACTGGATTTGGACAACTTGTGAGGTAGGCATATTACTGTCCCTGTCTTAGTGGTGAGGACACTGAGCCAGGATCGGGGAAGTCACTTGTCTAGTAAACACAGGTGTGACCCCGGGTCCATGCCCCTGACCATTGCTCCTGCCAGCTGGAGGTTCAGGTAAAGTACTGCCCACAAAATGCTGAGCTCAAGGCGGGCACGCTAAGTGCTCCATAAATGTCATTTAATGATAATATTAGTATTATTAATTGTAACCTATGGCTCCGGCTAAGTAGGGTGAAACTGCTTGGCTTATCTCTGCCTGTCCTTTGCCCATGCTTTGCCGGTGTGAAGCGCCAGCCATTGCGCCAGGGCCCCTAATGAGGCCATCGGGGTGGGTTAACTGGGCACCAAGATGGGACCTAATCACGGGCACTCGGTAAAGGGTCACATAGCGTCATTAGCGGAGCAAGAAGGCCAGAGTGTCCAGGGCAGGGTTCAGGGAGGAGGGAAGAGAGCAGTGCTTGTCGGGTGGCTGGTTGGATTGTCTGCTTTCTCACGTCCCCTTGGTGTCTTGGGAATCATGTAGGCACCTCCATGGGAGTTTGATCCTGTGATCAGTGTGCAGGGAAACCAGGGAGGCTGTCAGACTGGGATGTGGACCAGGCATGCCGGAGGATTCCCAGGAGACGGTCGGCTGGGGCTCAGAGGGGAAGGAGGGGATTGTCTGGCCTATGAGCCCTCCCCAGCCCCCAGCCACATCCAGTGGCCTCTTTTCTGCCCATGTGACTTGAGCCTCAGCGAACTGTTTTCACCTGTGTCTTCTTACTCCATCTCCTCTGGGGGCTTTAACTTCTTTCTCAATCTCCTTCACAACCTGACCAGCTCTTCTCCAAAGCACGTTCTGAATCTGCCCATTGTCTCCTCCCTGTCACCATCCTGGCCTGAGATCACTTGGGCTATTGCAATGGCCTCCTGACCTGCAATGGACACTGGTATCCAGGCATCCACCCTGGCCTCCCCATCTATTGTCCCCACAGCACTGAAGTCAGAACAGTCATCTTAAAACATAGTGTGATCAGCTCACTCCCTTGCTCAAACCCTCCCACCCTGCTCAGGGTCAAAGCCACAGTCTACACATGGCCCCTAAAGTCCTACAAAGCCTCTTTGACCTCTTCTGCTTCTCCTTGCTTAGTTAGTTCATGCCCGTGCTTCTCAAACATGCCAAACCTAGTCAACAGAGAGGTTGGATAAGTTGCCCAAGGTCACACAGCCTTTAAGTAACAGAGCTGGGATTCAAACCCAGGCCATTGGGCTTTGGGTCCTGCCATCTTTCCCTGGACATATAAGTAGCCTCATTCTTTCCTCCCTGTACCTTGAAAAGAAAGTACAATTTGCGTTTTACTGACGAGGAGGTGGAGGTCCTCAGAGGGGACAGCTCCCGCCTGGGGTGATTTGGTACCCATAGGAGGAGTATGGACTTTGAACTCCAAAGGCTGTGCTCATCCTCCTCGCTGGGTGTATCGCCCACCATGGAGGGCAGAGGACTGGGCAGTGCCCAGGGCGTGGCCACTACTGGCTGGGGGAGCAGGGAACTATCTGAGAACTGAGCGTGGCCCTGGTTGCAGCTTTAGCTGCTGTGCGAGGCTGTGGGTGGCAGGAAGAACTAGGGACCGAGGAACAGCTCCTTCCTGTCTCAACCTTGGGTCCCAGATAGGAGATTTATAGCTCAGTCTGAGCAGCTTCCGGAGACCCAGTCCCATGTGAGATGCTGGAGAGAGAGTCCTGTGCCATTTGTCTCCCAGTGGGACCGCTGGTGGGGCTCCGTCTTCTGCCTTGGTTTCCCTCCCATCTGTCCTCCATGCTGCAGCCAGGAAGAGCTCTTTAAAAAGCACATCTTTTCATGTTGCTCCCCTGCTTAAAATCCTTCAGTGCCTTCCCCTTGCTTTCAGGATAAGGTCCCATCTCCTACGAAGCCCCCATTTGACCCTGCCTGCCCTTTGGCTCATCTACCACTGACCCTGCTATGAACTCCAGCCGCCCTGGCCTGGAACCCCTCACTGCTTCTGCCTGAAGCCCTCAGCACTGGCTCTGACCCTGCCTGCCACTCTCCTCCTGCCCCCTCCAGGGAAAAGGACAGAACTGGATGCCTGAACTTCTCGGTTTAATCAGCTAGTTTTCTTAATCATTTGCTCCTATTTTTTTAATCTTATTTTCTACTTGCTGGAGGATTTTCTCACCTTATTTTCCATTCCTGTTACTACATCCTGGTGGTTGCAGCCATATTCTTTTAATTTAAATGTCCAAGAGCTCTTTCTTACTCTCTGAATGCCCCCTTTTTAAAAAGGGGCGTTCTTGTTTCAAGGACGTCATATTATCTCATCTCCTTGAAGCTTTTCACTTCAGGGTTTGTAAGTTTCCTGTTCTCTGCATTTTTCTGTTTCCTCAGAATCCCTTTTCCTCTTGTTTTGCACCTCATGAAGCATTTCTTGAATGTCTGGTGTTCTTTGCTTGTTCCTTTTATCTTAAAATTGGGTGACCCGTGAGTTGGGGCATGGCCAGAAGGAGCAGAGGAGGCTGGAGCCTGAGAAGGGGGAAGCCAGCCCAGCCTGGCACCCTGCTGGCCATGGCTGGGAGGAGGCAGAGATGCTAATGAAGAAAAGAAGGCCCTGGACCAGGAGGGCTGTTCTCAGCCAGCCCTTACGGAGCAGTTGCCGCGGTCTAGCTCCATGTTCAGCTCACCGGGCCCACCCCTGAGCCTGTGCCTGGACGTCTCTCAGGACAATGGACCAGGCCAGCCTCTCTGATGTGCCGGCCAGGCGGAGGGTGGGGGAGGGAAGTCCGGCGCCTGCCCCAACCCCGGGCATTGTGTGCTGCAGTCATTGCCCCTGATAACCCCTGACCTGGCACAGGACCAGCTGGCTCTACCGAGGGCCTGCCCTGGGAACAGCCCTGTCCTCAGACATGGGGGTGTGTGTGCATGTGTGTTCATCAGCACAGACTTTAACCCTAGTTTTCCCCCTTGAGATCTGCTGACTGGTTATGGCCGTGGGGACAGGAGGTCCTAGAAGGATTCAGGTCGCGGTTCCATATGCCCTGGACCTCAGTTTTCCCATCTGTCCAATGGGAGAAGTTGGATGGAGAGATTCCCCGGGTTTCCTGCCTGTGTACCCCTGAGAAGACACTCGGGTCCCACCCTGGGATAGTCCACCCTCCTCATTATTTTGTCCCCAGGAAAAGGGGCATTGCCCTCCCTGCCAACACACCTGAGGAGCTGCAGAACATCATCGGCATGGACAAGCCGCTCAGCCTCCCAGAATTCCTGGCCAAGTTCGACTACTACATGCCTGCCATCGCGTGAGTCATCCCTGCCCTCCGGCCCTGGGCAGTGTTGACCCCTGTGCCCACGATGGGCTGCTGGTACCAGGCTGGCACCTACTCTGTGGGGCGGGAGGAGGCGCTGTGACACCCACTTTGTCTCACTGTTGTGTGGACTTGTGCAAATCTCCCCATACTTTTGGGCCTCACTTTTCCCTTCTGGAAACTGGGTGTGATAGACTGAAATTCTTTCAGCTTCTATGGGAAAGTGACAGAAGGTGGCAATTGAGAACACAGATCCTGGTATCAGATTTTTTCCTGAAATAACTGTGACATTGGGCAAATCTATTCTCTTTGGGCTTCAGTTCCCTCATCTAGACAATGGGTTTATGACCCTCTACCTCCTAGGGCTGGATTTTGGAATGGACACAGCACTGTCCTCAGCAAGCCCCCCCTTACCATGAGGACAACTGCTACCTTTATTGACAGCCAGACATGAGGGTTTTATGTTACCTTTCATTCCTTCCATTTTTTAATAGCAGGGTATCTAAGCTATAGAAGAATGTCATACGTGGAGAGCTCACAGAACTATCCTTTTTGTAGTTGTCCACAGTCCCGCTCGGTGGACTCCCTCCTCATTTGCAGAGGAGGGAATGAAGGCTCAGGAAAGTGAAGGAACTTGCCCAGGACCATACAGCGGGCCCAGATTCTCACTCTCATGTCACCTTGAGTTTCCTGGCATGTGACAGGCAGGCGAGAATCAGGTTTTGGCAGTCCATGCCGGAAGTGTTCAGAGAAGGGAAGAAGTAAAGGGGGCCGGGGGAGTCAGGGAAGGCTGCCTGGAGGAGGAAGCATGGGCCTTGGGATGGAGAGGATGTGATACTATCCAGAGGGCTGGACCTGAGGAAGGGTCTGGAGGATGGGCCCAGTATGAGTTGTTGAAGGACCACTGAGGAAGGTGCATGAGGCAGGTAGAGGCCTTTGGCTGGGTAAGTGGCAGGACAGGTCTGAGGAGTCCTGGGGAAGGGAGGCGTGTGCCAAGGCTGCTGGCTTCTTTCTGGAAGCCTTTGGGCTCAGCCTGGAAGGCATCACCTGCCCTCATCCCAGGCCCCGTCAGCAGATGCTCTGGCACCCATGGTGCCTCTCCTCAGACACCCCCACCAGGACACATGGCCAGGTGGGGTCCTGTACAGGCTGAAGTGTGTCTGTCTCTCTGGCCACAAGACAGAAGAGAGCCAGCTCCCTAAGGCCCAAGCCCGTTTAGATGTGCATTTCCCTGATGATTAGTGATGTCAGGCACCTTTTCTCATGCCTGTTGGCCACCTGTAGGTCTTCTGAGAAATGCCTATTCAGTTCCTTTGCCCATTTTTTAATCAGTTTTTTGTTTATTTTGTTTTGCTATTGAGTTGTAGGTGTTTGTCTGTATTTTGGAAATAAGCCCTTACCCAGATAAATGGTTTCTCCCATTCTGTAGGTTGCCTTTCACTCTGTTGACGGTTCCCTTTGCTGTGTAGAAGCTCTTTAGTTTGGTGCAATCCCCCTCATCTATTTTTGCTTTTGTTGCCTATGTGTGTCCTTTTCTCTTATTTCTCCTCCCTGCTGGCTTACATCTATCCCTGGGAACAAGCCTGACTGTTCCCTGGACAAAAAGAAGACCCCGAAGGACTCATGGAGTGAGTGGGGAGGTTGACAGGGGCCAGACTCTGCAGGCCTTGTGGGCGGGGTCACAGAGTTGATTGTGGGCGGGGTCACAGAGTTGATTGTGGGCGGGGTCACAGAGTTGAGACTTACTTTACGAGGTGGGAAGCCATTTGGATTCTGAGTGGAGGAGCCATAGTCTTTGATCTCCATTTTTACAAAGAAAGGCACCAGCTGCTGTATGTGGCAAGCGTGGAAGCAGGGAAGCCGGTTAGAGAGATGTGGTTAGAAGCAGGGTGGAGGAGCCAAGAATTGGCAGAGTTTGAAAGTAGAGCTGACAGGACTCTCTGTGCTTCTAGGATTTTCTCCAGCAAAGCCCAGAGCTTAGGGCTGGGTGATGAGAGATTGGGCGCCAGATGTGGGTTTGATCTGCCACGGGTTGAGACAGCTTTATTACTCCTGGAGCTCCCAAGGGACTTGGGGAAGGTTGTCCCCAACCCCTCTCTTCCTTTCCCAGGGGCTGCCGGGAGGCCATCAAAAGGATTGCCTACGAGTTCATGGAGATGAAGGCCAAGGAGGGCGTGGTGTACGTGGAGGTGCGCTACAGCCCACACCTGCTGGCCAACTCCAAGGTGGAGCCCATCCCCTGGAACCAGGCCGAGTGAGTGATCGCCCAGAGGGCTGTGCTGAGGTGGCCCAACCAGAGACCCAAGGGGCAGATTGTCAGGAGGCCCTGACCCAAGCAAGACTTTGATCTTGCCCCCTGAGCTGGTCCATAGCTTCAGAAAGATGGGCTTGATTCTGTCACAAGGGACGTGGTTCCCATCCCTCACCTGGGCTTGTGTTTTTATCTTGGACAAAAGCATCTGGCTGTGTCTTGCCATCCCTAGTCCTGGACACAGGCCTGCAGGCTAGGGACCTGAACTTGTTTATCCAGTGACTTCTAGGGGTCCTGTCCTAGCCCTGTAACTGAAGTGAGTCTGGCCCATTTCTGCCCCTCTGCCTGGACCCCAGGGATGTCTAAGTGGTACCACCCAACCACCCTGCCCCTCTTCTAGCCATGACTGATACTGATGGACAAGAATCAGACCAGGTGAGCTTAGCTTAGCAGTGCTCTCCACCTAAGATGGGGGAAGGGCAGTCTGACCTCCCCTTCTTCCCAAATTGGGACAGCCTTTCTGGTTTGGAAGTGCCCAGACAGTTCCAAGGAAGCTGGAAGGGTGTGTGCTAAGGTTTGGGGCTGTCTCCCTTGGCCTTTCCTCAGAGGCAATGGGTTAGTGGGGGTGAGGGCTTCTCCTGGAAGATTCCTCTTCCTCCTCTTCCTCCCGTCCCTCCCTTCCTTCTCCTCTTTCCTCTCCCTCCTCGCCACCTCCCTTCCCTCCTCTGTCCCAGTCCCAGGGCTGTCCTTTAGCCCTTTCTTTGTCTCAGGCCCACTCCTGCCCTTCTCTGCACACAGAGGGGACGTCACCCCGGATGAGGTGGTGGCCCTAGTGGACCAGGGCCTGCAGGAGGGAGAGCGAGACTTCGGGGTGAAGGTGCGGTCCATCCTGTGCTGCATGCGCCACCAGCCCAGTGAGTGTGACCTCGGCCCTACCCCGGGCTGCCCATCTGATGCCGCCCCAACCTCCCGGCCCGCCACGGGGGCCGTATCTGGTCTCCTCTGTGCCCCCCACCCCGTGGTCTTCCCTGAGCCCATCAGCTGGATCTCAGGGCTTCCTCCCTGGCAGGCTCAGAACTTCCTGCAACACAGACTTTTTCTCCCCAGGGAGGCTGGGCCTGAGAGCCATGTGACCTGCAGGAGGCTCAAAACCCAGGGAGCCTGAACAATAGAGAAAAGCCTGAGCCAGGTTCCCCTCAGCCCATGACCCTCCCTGTGACACTGGGGATCAGGCCTTTCCTGTTGGGGCTGCAGAACCTGGGACTAGGTCTGAGGTCTGAGGGGTCTCCCTGTGACTGGCACTAGTCACGTTCCCAGGGCTTCCCAAATTCCTAACATTACAACACTAAACAGAAATGTATTACATTTCCATGACAAACAAAAAGAAAAATTCATGAGTCTTCGCCCCCCCCCAAAAAAACCCCAGGGAGAATCTTAAAAAACTAAATATGGATCTCAGCATTAACAGCTGAACAGAGAAAGGAATTAAAACGCTTTCGTTAAAAAAAATCACAAGTGGATGATAAAGTGTGTAGAAACTGAAAATTTACAAAGTATTTAAAACCCGGGATTGCCAACAGTTTGGAAACTACGCAGGGTTTGCGCTTCCAAGGCAGAGCCCTGCCGTGTGGCTCTGAGCAGGTCCCGTCACCTCTCTGGACCTCAGACTCGCCTTATCACAGGAGGTGATTGTACTCACCCCGTTCTCTGCTCTAAGGAGGCCAAAGCGAGGGGCCTCCCTGTGCAGAGTGTCTCCGGTGTTTTCGCTAATCCTCGCAGCGGCCCGCGAGGTAGGACTACCATCGTTTACCCTCGTTTGACAGATGAGGAAACTGAGGCAGAGAGAGGCGAAAGCCCTTGCTCCTCAATCAAGAAGGCACAAAGCCCACGTTGGAACTCAGGGCCACCTGGTTCCAAAGCCTGTGGTGGTGCGTCCTTCTCAGAACACTTTTTGATGACTTCACTAGTTAAGAGCACGAAGTACGTTAGCAGTGTATTTGGTTAACACTGGAGTGAGTTATGCTTTAGGCTGAAACGTTTCATCTGCTAAGTGGGGGAAGCCCACTTGGAGGGTGGGGGTTGAGACAGAGAATTGCCATTTGTCGTATACTGAGTCCAAGACCTGCCCTCAGTGCTTTACACACCGGGCCTTGGCAAAGCCTTGCTGCGACCCGGTGCTGCAGCTGGTGGTGTCCTCTCTGAGAGCAGAGGAAATGGGGGCACCGAAGGTCATGTGGTCAGGCTGCGGCAGTCGGGATTTGAAGACAGGACACTGGGGCCTCGGCCTCTCATTGCCCTCGGGTGGGAGGCAAGGGCGAGTGGCAGGGAGGCCTGGGAGGGATCTTTCTCCTCAGTGCTGCTGCCAGAGGCCCAGCTGGCACCTTGCCCACAGGCTGGTCCCCCGAGGTGGTGGAGCTGTGTAAGAAGTACCAGCAGCAGACCGTGGTGGCCATCGACCTGGCTGGGGATGAGACCATCCAAGGCAGCAGCCTCTTCCCAGGACATGTGCAGGCCTACGAGGTGGGTCCCGTGGGAAGGGGGCGGGGAAGAGGCTGGCTCTGGGGGAGCCGTGCAGGGAGCTTGTCTCCACCCCCAGGAAGGAGAAGTCACACGGACTGGGGATCACGAGGCCTCCTGGGTTCCCAAGTGGGTCTGACTCGGGTCTAGGGGCTCTAGAAATTGGGAATCTGGTATAAAGGAAAAAACCGACTTGGTGCGGGGGGTCCTATATTTGAGGCTTTCTGCCTAATGATTTGCTGTGTGACCTTGGGCGAGACTGTCTCTTCGCTGGGCCTCTTTCGTCTGCTGGGATGACTGAGTTGGAGCAGAGGTCTCAAAGCCTCAAATGTGCTTCCCGTGGAAGGGGTGAAGCAGGGGGGTGGAGCAGGGGCTCTGGGGTCCCTGCCCGCCTCAGAGCTTGGCTCCCCACTTCCTGTTTGACTTTGGTCAAGTTACCTTGCTTTCCTGAGCTCCAGCTGCCCGGCTGTAAGACAGGCAGTTGTGAATGCTGGCTAAGGTATCCGAAACATTCCGCACAGGACCTGACGCATGATAGCTGTCTAATAAATGAGAGCTACCACTTAAATGATTACAAAACAAAAACCGACCAGACTTCCCTGTCCTGAAGCAGGCCATGTGGCCCGTGGGCGTGGCTCAGCCCCAAGGTGTGGTGAGGGCAGGGCCTGCCGGGGCTATCCCCAAGGCTGTCCCCCAGGCCGCCCCTGACCTGGCCCCTGCCCTTCCAGGAGGCCGTGAAGAGCGGCGTTCACCGCACGGTCCATGCCGGGGAGGTGGGCTCGGCGGAGGTGGTGAGAGAGGTGAGTGGGTCTGGCTGGCGGGCGGTGTGGACCCTGCTCCTACCTCCCCGCTGGGCTCCACCTCGCTTCTCCTTCTCTGCAGGCCGTGGACACGCTCAAGACGGAGAGGCTGGGCCACGGCTACCACACCCTGGAGGACGAGGCCCTTTACAACAGGCTGAGGCAGGAAAACATGCACTTCGAGGTGAGGGGCTGGGCGGTGAGGGGACAGAGCTGCGGTGGGAAGTGAGGAGGCTCCGGGAGCTGAAGGCGCTGGGTGAGCCGTGCTGGGAGCAGTCAGTGGGTTTTCAAGCTGCTGGGCTGTGGGAGAAAACCAGGACTGCCGGGGCCTGGGATCCAGCTGCAAGGGGGCTGGTGTGACTGGGGCACGGGGAAGGGGGGTTGCCGTGGCCTAGGGGTGTTTGGCCAGCCACATACCTGCTTTTCCAGGTCTGCCCCTGGTCCAGCTACCTCACCGGCGCCTGGAAGCCGGGCACGGAGCATGCGGTTGTTCGGTGAGGCCTGGTCCCCTGGGGCCCATTCAGTTTTGTACTCGGAAAGCCAAGGGTGGGTAGGGGATGCGTGGACCGGGCTCTGGCCCGTGCTGGGTCTCTTGGGTATGAAATCTCTTCAAATGCTTGGGAAGCGGGTGTTACTGTCCTCACCTTACAAATAAGGAATCCAAAGTTTGGATGTGGTATAACCTGGCCGAGGTCACCCAGCTATTAAATAGCAGAACTGGGGACCCCTAGCTCATTCAGCTAGAGCAGAATGCCCCGCTATCCCACACTCTAGATTCTCCCTCCCAGGGATCAGGAAGATGAGCATCTGCTGCTCCTGTGGTCTCTGCTCCTGGCACCTCCGGGCCGTCCCCCCCCCCCGCCCCACCAGCACCATCCTAAGCTTTCTCCCCCCGGAGAGTCTGTCCCACCCCACCTGACCCCAATCCCATCCTGCCTCTGCCCTTCTCCAGGCTGTCCTGGGACTGAGCCCTGGGACAGGCCTCAGGAGGGCAAAGCTGACACAAGAGAAGTTCACCAGGAACTTGGGGAGACCATGGTCAAGCCAGCACTGACGGTCTGTCTGCCAAGCTTATGAGAAGGAAAGCTTGGGCACTGATGTTCTGATCTCAAGGGGTCCTGAGGTCTGCTTTAGGAACGTGGAGTGTGTGGACATCCAAGCTGAAGTTAATGGAGACATGAGGGTATACAGCCTGTGAGCTGGAGAAAGGCTTGAGTTGTCTGAACAGATATGGGGGTTGAAGAAGTGACAGCCTTAGGAGAGCAAGAGTGCCTGAATCTAGGACAGTGACAGCGAAGGGACGGCAGAAGAAAAGCCAGAAGCGTGGTGTCCGAGAAATTGAGGGAAAAGGCCAACAGAATAAAATTCTGCTACACAAGTTGAGGGAGGTAACAGCTACAAAATGTCCACTGGATTTAAGAAGATGGTGGCCAGGAATTGTGCCAAGAACATTTTCCTAATGTTTAAAGGGTCAGATCCCAGTGGGACTGAGGATGACTGGGGTAGGGTGCAAACCACTCTCCCACAATGGTGGCTGTGAAGGAGGCTAGAGAGGGTGGTAGCTGGAGCGGGGGATGTTGCTTTTTTGCCCCTCACGCCCCCATTCCATCTGGCTCATCTTCTGCCTTTGCCTGGCTCTGGCCTGGTTGGATGGGTTTAAGTCTTGAGTTGCTACGTGTTACGTGACCTTGGACAAGTCACCTGGGTTCTCTGAATTTGTTTCTTCCTCTGTACAATGAGAGTTCTCAGGTCTGTCCAAGTGCGCTGCGAGGCTCAAAGGAGGGTAGCCGTCAACGTGCAGTGGCTGTTTATACAGAAGTAACAGGAGGTGCTTCTCCCTCTCTCTCTCCCTCCCCCGGGATCCAGGTTCAAAAATGACCAGGCGAACTACTCACTCAACACGGACGACCCACTCATCTTCAAGTCTACCCTGGACACAGATTACCAGATGACCAAGCAGGACATGGGCTTCACTGAAGAGGAGTTTAAGAGACTGGTGAGTGGGTGTGAGCCTTGACTCTTGGCCCGGGGAGTGTGTGAGGCCTGCAGGGCCTGTCCAGGGCCTGGAATCCCTGGAGGAGTGAGTCTGCTCCAACAAGCCAGGCCAAGCCAGACCTGGAGTGTGCTGCCTTTCACAGAGAAGACATCTTTGGCTGACAATCCTGACCTAGGCCCGGTTTTCTTATCCTTTGCTTGGGTTGAGTGCCCTGAAAGACTCTAAAAGCTAGCAACCATCTCCTCAGAAAGGTGTGCTCAGCTATAAATTCTGCACACAGTTTTCAGGCCACTCATAGACCCCTGGCTGAGCCCTTGATTTTAGGGGTTGTGATCGCCTAAGTCTGTCTCTGCAGGACTGTCTCTCTGGCCCCACACAGCACACGCTGTCTCTCAAAGGTTTCTCCAGCCTCCTTCCCGTATCTCTGTATCACTTCGGGCCACATTAAGAACACAGAACCTCATAGTCTCTGCTCTGGCACTTGCTGCTGTGTGACCTTGGACAAGTCCTTCCCCCTATGAGCTTAAGCAACTGCCCACATTTAATGAAGAGAATAGACTGTGTCACTAGATTGCCAAGGGCTCCCTTCCATGATGTCTGGTTTCATGTTGTCTGCGTGCTGGTCCTTCTAGAACATCAACGCAGCAAAGTCCAGTTTCCTCCCAGAAGATGAGAAGAACGAGCTTCTTGAGCTGCTCTATGAAGCCTATGGGATGACATCTCCGGCCTCGGCAGGTATATTCCCATCTGAGCTGCTGGGCTGTTGCGCTGCCCTGGCCCCAGCCTGGCTTTCCGTGGGACTTCACACAAGATGCTCTCCCTTCCTCTCCTGGGCTGCACCAAGGATGTGTGATGACTCCCTGGTGACAGGGCCTTGGCTGGTGGCAGACTCTCACTAGATCAGCTTCCCTTCTGTATCATGCTGTCTTGAGGCTGGTCTGGGGAAGAGACTTTCTAAGCCCACTCCCAAAGGTCCTGGCAGCTTTGGGGAATCTCCATGTCTGCCCAGAGATCAGAGGTCTGTTCCGCTCCTTCCTTCCTGTGTGTTCTTGGCAGAGCATTCCCTTTCTCCAAGCCTCAGTTTCCCTAGCTGTAGAAAGGGGCTCCTCTTTGGCTTTGATGTTCTGTGATTCTTTTTTTTTTTAATGTCCTAATCTTTCTGCTTCTCTAACTTGGCAAACAGGGCAGCATGCATGAAGACATGGTGGCCATCTCTCTGAGCCCTCACCCTGTGGATGGATACGTCACTACTCTGGGGTCAAGCGACACGCTCCCCTTTACTCCTTCCAGGGAGACCATGATTTCCAAAGTCAGCTACTGATACTCTGAAGCCTGTGTGCCTATTTCTGTACACATGTATACCTCAGCAGGGCCGGGTCCCTCCTCTGATTGTGTGCCCGGGCCTGGATCAGGGCCTGGGTCTGGGATTGGCTGAGTCTGAATCTCTCCCCTGTGGTGACTTAGGATGAAAATCTGGTGCTCAATAAAGAAGCCAATGGCTGGGGTCGTGCAACACGTGGTGTGTGGTGCTGTGGTCTGGAATGGGCCAACTTAGGTTTGTGAGGAATGGAAGGAGCCCCAGGGCTCCCAGACGCAGGCAGCCTGCCCAGTGGCAGGGTCCCGAGAAACTGGTGGGGGCTGTGAATGGGAAGCCAGGGCTTCCAGTGCTGGAGGCCAAGAGGGGCTAGTAGGCTGCTCCCCCCGACCCCAGAAGAAATAAGATTCCTTTTGAAGAGTTATCTGCTTAAATGCTCCCTGAAATCTTAACCCCTCCGACTCTAGGTCCTAAGGAGAAAACTTTCCTTGGAGTTCTGGAAGCTGTGGACTGGGGTGAGGGAGAGGGTGAGATGAGGAGGACTCATCGGACACCAGGCTGAGGATTTGCACGGCCTCTGCAGGACCCCAGTATCTTCTCAGGTACTTCCTTCCGTGAGAGCCTGGGGAAGCCATGGGTCCCAGCTAACTGAAGACTTGGGGAAACAAGACCCAGCCCCTGCTTTTGCTGTTAAAAGGAGAAACCATCTTAAACCAGTCACATAAATCATCAGCATTTATTTCCTGGGCCGTAGGTGTCACTTATCTTGGTAGAAGGGGTGAAGGGTTGATCAGAGAGTTTTGAGCACAAACCCCTTCTGTAGGAATGGATCTGTGAAGCTCCAGGAGGGAACTCAGAGCTGCAGAGACGGTCAAAGAGTTTAGTTTACAATAGCCTCCCCCACACGGAAGAAGTGAATTGTCAGCTCCTTCCCTCTCTGCTGAAAAAGGTTTAACATTTTTAAAAAGTTTAAAAGTGCTCTTTAAAAAAGGGGTAAGAAGGTCTTGACCCAGAGGCCAGGGTTGGAGGAGAGAGGGCAGAGCTGGGATGTGGTCCCTGCCCAGGCTGCTCACCCAGGTGGGCAGGACCAGCTCCTGAGTCCTGGCGCCCACTGAATAAATAACATCCTGTGGTGACAGTGTCTTGAAAGTGTCCCCAGGCGCAGTGAGGAGGTGGTAGGAGCATGGAGCCTGGGGGTGTGGGCAGAGAGCTTTCCCAGGGTAGGGGCCATGGGAGCCCCTGGGGGCTGCCTTTCAGTCTGGCCTGGCTTGCCTGGAACACACTGCTCAGAAGAGGCTGCTGGGCCAGTGCCAGGGCTCCCCGTCCACAGCGTGTCTCTCTTCCAGCCTCCTTGGGCAAGGTCACATTCAAGATGAGGTGGTCCCATCGCTGCTCTCAGGCTGGTTGCTAGCTTCCTTGTCTGGGGTGCCCACCTCCGCCTGTCCTTCTGCAGGGGAGAGAGAGGAGCGTATACATGGAGGGAAAGCGTTAGGAGAAGGTCTAGAAGGACCTGACCGAAGTGGCAACAGTGGTAAGCCCTGGGGGAGCTGGACAGGAGCTGGATTAGGGGTGGGGGTGGCCAAAGGGAACTTTGTAACACTTTGATTTCTACAAAGAAAATTCATGCACTACTACTAGTATAATTAAGGTCAAGTAAGGGCCAGGATTGTGGGTGGACGCTGACAGCATCAGGTGAAGGGCTGTTGAGGGTCAGGATATATGTGTGGGTTCTGCAGAGGGAGAGGGCAGTGCGGAGTCCCAGCATGTCCCAGTGCTCAGCAGATAACAGTTTTTGTAAGACAGCAAAGGGCACCGGACTAGGCTAGCTTAGGGGAGCACTGGGAGTGGCCTACAGCAGAGGAAGGGCCCATGGCTGTCCTGTGTCCTCACCAGACCAAACATACACCTCCCTCTGTGGCCTGTGTCTTTGCATCCTTAGGCTAAGCCCTTCACGTGACTAAGGAGAAACCACCCTGCACCCAGCTCCAGAGGCTGCACACAGGCACATACTTTCTATGCAAGTCCACACAGCAGCCTGGAAATGTGATGAGCGTCACATTATGGTACAGATGAGAAAACCAATGCTCAGAGAGGTGAACTGATTTGCCTGAGATCACGTGGTGGAGGGAGCAGTGTCCCTGCCACTAAAGCAGCATCCTCCGGGGTTTATTCAGATCTGTTATGGAAGCCGCCTCCTTCTGCCCTAGCAGCCGTCACCGGAAGTGGGTGTTAGTGGTAGCGAGTGGTGTGGGCAGAACTTGGACACCTGCTCTCCACCCCCAGGGTACCTCCTATCCTGGGGCAGTGCCTGTAGCAAAGACTTGATCCTAGAGGGCCCTTCTGGACCACAAGTAGCCCGACAAATTAGACTGCACTTCGGGCAAATTTCCTTTCTGGCCCTGAGCCTCCCGGCCTGGTGAGCAGGAACAGCCTCGTTAGATTCCCGAGGAACTGCCACTCTGCCATTTCCTTGCTGTGGGACTTGACAATTTAATTAATTTCTTTGAGCCTCTGCTTCCTGATCTATGAAGTGAGGATGGTGACACTTCTGTCCCTTTGTGGTCATCTGGCACATGGGAACAGCTTAGCCAGGGGTTAGGTTTCCTCTGAGCCCGTCCCAGTTCTCTCCTGGCATGGAGAAAAGGTCCCCAAGCACCTTCCTCTCCAAGCAGCACCCCTGGGACTCATTTAGGGCAGAGCGTGATTCAGAAAGTTCACGGTCACATACACCAAGCAGTGCGTTCATATTCCTTCATGCCTTGCTGACTGTTTATCTCTCACTGTTAGGCCAAGTAAGGAAATACTTGTGCTCCCCACGTAAGGAAATATCAGAGGACAAAGCTGTGCACACAGTGTGCTTGGGGAGCGTTAAGACACAGGATCTGGGGAGGCCTGGCACCTGTCCTTCAGGACAGCCTAAGGCCATGCTCTCTCCCCTGCCCTGGCTGTGCACCCGTCTCCCAAGCTTTAATTTAAGCAAACAGATGCTCCGGGACCTTATCCAGGGTCTGCAGGGTCAGAATCTGTATTCTCTGTATCCCACTCCCTTGGTGAGTCTGCTGGACTGAGCCCGACTTGCAGAACTGCCGATGGAAACTGCTCCTGGAAGGGCCTACTGGAAGGCCCCTCAGCCAGTCACATGGCCTGCACTCCACCGCCTTGCAGTGAGCACTACACCTTCCTCGGGTCCCCTTTTAAACTGTCAGTCACCCTGGCAGGCAAAGACTGGGACACTGGGACACCTCAGGGGTTTTGACTCGGACGGGGTAACAGGCGTTGGAGGGCCTGGGTACGTGGATGAGTGGCTCCAGCTGAAGTTGAAGGAGACAGAAAACAGTTCACCAGAGCAGACTCAGAAGCCCTGGCAGCAGGCCCATCCTGGCAGCTGGACGTGCTGGTCAGTGAACAGCCACTGACTAGGCACCGATACCGTGTGCCCAACGCTGCCAGGCACCGACGGCACAGGACGCGGATCCCCGGCGGGAGGAGCTCCTGGCCTAATGGAGGGGCACTGCGCTACGTGGGACGGTGGTGGCGCCCGGAGAAGAGGCGCCTCCTCCTGCCTGAGAGGGGGTGGTCAGAGAGGGCCTCTCAGCAGAGCTGTGTGGGTCTCTTAAGAAAGAGGAAAAGCGAGCCAGGCAAGGGAAGGAAGAACCAGACGGAGGGAGCAGTGTATGACGGCCCATCAGGAACCTTCAAGAAACATAAGTACCTTCCTCGGGCTGGATCAGAGGCACGGGGAGAAAGATGGGAATAGAGGCTGGAGGTGAGCTGGGTGAGACCCGGGGAGGCTCCCATGGCTGGTGAGGCGTTTAGGCCACAGGCCAAGGGAAGGCTGACAGACCCCTGAGAGGGAAGGTGCAGGGATGGAAGGTGGGGTTCCTCAGGCAGGGTGCTAGAGGCAGTCAAGTTCTCATTCTAACTACATTAACTTGCTGGGCAACCCTGAGCAAGCCATCCAACTTCTCTGGTCCTGCCTGTCCAACTATACTGGGAGAAGAGTGGGCCAAGCCCCCAGACCAAAAATAGGTCATTTTTGGCCAGCAAGGGCCAAGGGCTTTGGACTGGGGGACTTCACAGGGAAAACAGGGTCGTGGCCCTCCAAGGACATCTCATGGGGGAGACACAGAGAGCCCGACAGTGCAGCATGCTGTGGGAAGCAATGTGACGGACTGACATGGCCTCTGTGTGCTGTGGGGACAGGGACAGGGACTGACATGGCCTCTGTGTGCTGTGGGGACAGCAGAGCAGTGGGACCAGAGAAGGCTCTTGAAGGAAGGTCCCAGAGTTGACCAGTTAGCTGAACAGAGTCCACTGGAAGGATGGAGGGAGGAGGGTGACCCGGGCACTATGTTGGGTGGCGGTGTGATTTCCTCCATTCACTCATTCCACCTGTGGTTTCCAAGCACCTGCTATGTGCCAGCAGCACAGAAGGCCCTGCTCTCCGGAAGCTCATTCTAAACACATGAGACCTTATCAGAGTGGTGAGGGTCATGGGCTTGGGGAGGGATGACTGGGCTGTCAGGGAAGGCCCCTCTGAGCACCTGGTATCTGACCTTTGGCCTAAGGCAGAGGAGACAACAGCCACAGGACTGGGTGGGGCTGTTCTAGCAGAGGAAATGGCCAGAGATGAAAGGCCCTGAAGGGCGCAGACCTGCACCTTGACAGAAATAGACCAAAGGTGTGAGTGGAGGGCAGACAAGGAGGGGAGGGGCAGCACCCGCTGAGGTCTGAGAGGCAGGGCAGGGCCTGGGCCCACAGTAGAGCACAGGGACGAGTTCAGCTCCACTTGGTAGGTTGCCACTGGGGTATGTGAGGGCAGAAGCAGGATGGGGCAGAAGGCTGGCAGCTGGACTGCAGGAGGACTGGGGTGGGAGGCGGGGAAGAGACTGCTGCAGTACTGAGTGGCCTCAGCCAGGTGGTGGCTGTGGGGATGGAGAGAAGCAGAGGGGCTGGGGAGGGTCCTGGAGGAGAACTGAGGACTAGTGGATGGACTGGGAGGCTTAGGGAAAGGGGGGGCCCGAGGGTCCTCATGGCGTGAAATGCTGCACCCTTCAGCCTAGAGACTGGCTGGACTCTGCCAGGAACCATGGACTGGGGCCTGATTTAAAAGCAGTACTTTTCCCTGAGAAAGAGTGGGCAGGCTAGGACTCAGAGGCCAGCCCCTGAGCCCAGAAGAGGGTCGCTCACATGAGGGTTCTGACCTGCCCCCTCGAGGGCTAGCTCGCCCATGTCGCCAGCCAGCTTCCGCACGCTCACGGCCTCGGAGTCTCCCTGGATGTCAGGGACCGCGTTCCGACGGCCTGTCCGGTCACAGGAGATGAAGTCCGAGTAGGAGGACTCGACTTCCATCACGCCTGTCGCATCGCTTTTCAAGCCTGTGGGGACAAGAGCAGGAGGGCAGACGTGAAGCCTCTGCATACTGCAGGAAAAGCCTCAGCTCTGGGCCCCAGCACTGATGTTTTCCGACAAAATCACAGTTATTGACTTGATCACTGAAGACAAAGCAGAAAGCACAGAAAAGTACAAAGAACAAAATAATTCATCCGTAATTTTGTACCCCGCAAAATCACCACCATTTTAAAGAACACCCTTTATCTTTAAGTTAATGATAACCATCTACATGTTTATCCATCTAGACATTTATCCACATCACCTGCCAGGCACTGGCTAGGTGCCACAGATGCAGCAATGAACAAGTCAGCCGCAGTCCCTGCTCTCAGGGAGCTTACAGTCTACTGGGGAATTTAGGGTAATTACCTAATACTTAAGTAATTATGCAGTGTTCAGGGCTTCCAGGGGGGAAGGCAGGGTGCTGGAGTGACTACCAGGGCCTGACCCAGGCCAGGAGTCAGGAAGTGACATTTCACCTGAGATCAAGGAGGAATAGGCATTAGACAAGGACTGAGGGGAAGAGCAGGTGTGAAGGCTCTGAGGAGCGAAGGGCACGGTGGGCTGCAGTGTGCGGGAGACGGGCTGAAACTCTGAGGACGCTGCTGAGCTGGGCAGGGGCCCCATTACACCTCGTGAAGGATCAGATCAGCATTTTCAAAGATGACTCTGCCACCTGGGGTTGAGCAGGGCCCGGAAGGGGGCCAGCAATGGGGGCTCCTGCACAAGTTCAGGTGTGAGACGCTGGTGGGTGGACCAAGGAGGTGGTGATAGACAGGTTCTGGATGTCATTTGGAGGAAGGATCAACAGGACTTGGTGTCTGACTGATGCGAAAGTGAGATTTCTGACATAAACAAGCAGGTGAATAGCAGTGTGGTTTATGAGATGGGGAGTGAAGGCGGGGTGGAGATTGAGTTCATTTGGTCACGTTATCCTTGAGATGCCTGTGAGCGCCCCCTGCCCCCCAGGCAGAGGTAGAGTAGGTACACAGTTAGGGAGCTGGAGCTCAGAAGAGATGGGGGATGGGATGGGGAGGAGAGGCAGGAATTGAGGAGTTATTGCTACAGAGATGGTGATTAACAGCCCTGAAGGCTGATTTTACAGCCGAGAGAGAGAAGAGAACCACATATACAAATAAGAGCCATATACATGTAAATAATTATTTGGAGATCAAGTTATTTTATAGCTTACCCTGGAACAAGTCATTAAGGGATCTCTCTAGATGATATTTGTACACATGTACTTGGATGTACCATGATTTATTTCACTGGTTCCATGAAAATGAACATGGAGGTGATTTTCAACTTTCCACCATTAGACACAGCACGAGGTCTTTATATAAATATTTGTGCCTATCTCTAGTTATTTCCTTAGAGCATATTCCTAGAGGTAGAATCGCTGAGCTAAAGGGAAATGGGGAAATAAATTTTAAGACATTGATTTGACACATTTCCAAGCTGCCCTCCTGAATGGCATAGTGTGGTGTTTATAATTTTAAAAAATTAGGAAATAAAACATATAAATTCAGTTCTGTTCCTGTTTATGTTCCCACCAGCAGCCCATGAGATTGTCCATTTATCTGCACCCTTGTCAACAATGGTTATTACTATCATGTACTTTTTTTAAAAGGCTAATCTGCTAGGGCAATACAAACACCTCTCTTTAAGTACCTATGATTTTCTCAAGGCAATCAAATCACACAGTCACCACATGGACTCTGGCCACTTGGCAGACCCTGAGTTAGGAAGCGGGAGAGGGGGAGGTCTAAGCCACTGGCTGGCTGTCGAAGTTCTCAGTCCTCCCGGGTGAGATGGGCCCAGCAATTCCCAGTTCTAGACACACGCATGCAATTCCAATGCTCTCTGTCGTGTGTGGATGTTTACTGCAGTCAGTGATAGGGAAGCTCCCAAGTGTCCCTCAGAAGGCCAGGCATTACATGAGCTATAAAGTTATTCATGAAAAAGAGCTGCACCAGATGGATGTGTACTGGCACGGCAAAGTGTCTCAGTTAATTGAAAAATGCAGGTTGCAAAACACCACCTTAAAGAAAACCCAGTTGCTATGGGGAAAGACATCACATAAAAGGAAAAAACCTTGCCGAGTATGGTTCTTTGCGACTAAGGGGAACTTTCACTTCTAAGATTATATGTTTATAATGCTAGGAGTTTTTATAAGCCCAAGTGATTGTGCAATGCTTTCAGAAAGTAACTGACATTGGCAGGAAGTGCACGGAAAGCACCCAGGGTGGGGCTCAGTAAGTGCTCTGTGCTGTGTGTGTGTCGGGGCGGGGGGTGGTGGTGAAAGGAAGAGAGGCTGGCTAGTATGAAGGGCTGGACCCTCGTCTCCCTACGACACCGAGCCCAGAAGAGACACCTAAAGAATAAATTAGGGGCACTCAAAGATCAGACAAGGGAGACAGGGAGGTGTCCTGTAGTAGAAAGAGAAAAGAACAAGAGACATGACCTTGTGTTATGAACTTGGCTCTGGTCTCACCAGACTTGGAGCAAGACTCCCTTTCTGGGCCTCCATTACCCCGTCTATAAAACAGAATAAAAGCGGGGCCAGAATTCTAAGGCCATCCCTCCCAGCTCCAGCAGAGGGCGCACCCAGACTATTTTTCTTAGCTGCCTTGAGAGAAAGTTGCCCTAGTTATGCTTTGGCTCCTCCTTGGCAAAAACAAAAACAAAACAAAACAAAACAAAAAAACTCTCTGAAGTCCCAGAGGTGGTTCTTCTGTAGGTCACAGAAGTTTCACTCCTACACTCTCCCTCTGGGGAAACTGCTCAAAGCTTCATAACAGGGGAATAGCCTGTTGCAGTAACAGTAGTAACACAAAATAAAAATGATGACAGTTCTAACAATAATGGTAAAGGCAACATTTATAGTAATGTTTTCTATACCTCACTGACTAAATTGACACGATAGCCTCTGAGGTCAGCAGGGTGAGTTTATAACCATGACTTAGGAAGGTCTCAGGAGGACCCACACATGCTGGTGGGAGGGGAGCGAGCCTGGGCAGGCCACACCAGCTCCCCGAGCCCCGTCTCCTCAGCCCTTGTCCTCCAACCAGAATGTTGGCTCCAAGGGAAATGGTGTTTGTTTCTGTCTGGATTTCCACCAGGCCAGACTGAAAGGCCTAACTAATCCTGGCAGCTGGAACACATGCTCTGGCTGCTCCATCCTCAGATACTCAACCAGGGCCTGGCAGAGAGTAGGTGCTCAATAAACACAGTCAAATTAAATTTGAATTGTCTGCCTGCCTGCCTTCTCTCCATCCCTCTTTCCCTGTCTGTGGGGATGACTAGCCCTTGTTGGGGCTGGTGGAAAGGCCTCCGTCCACTGTAGACGGCTGTGCTGATGTTCTGACCCGGGATTCCTAGCAACTGACACTGTGGCATAGAGTTAAAGGCTCTATCTACAAGACTAGCTTCCTGCTGGAACAGACACCCCGGGGCTTTGGACCCTGCCCTTGTCTGGCTGATCTTACTTACAAGCTGCCCAGGGCAGAAAGCTAGCTTTCCTGGCTCAGAGAGGGAAGTGTGCCAAGCTCAGAGCCCCATCCTGGAAGATGCTAACTGAGGCCAATGAGGTCCCGATGCCCCATCCCCATCCCCCCGGAGAAGAGCAATTCCAAAGATGGGTCTGGGGCTGTGTGTCTGGGGGATTCCCTGACACAGGGCACAAGCACACAATTTCATTTTTCTTCAGTATTTGTATTCTTCCCTCACTCTCTCCTCACAAAAGTCAACAGCAAATGGGGAAATAAAATAAAGAAACAGAGTTGGAAGCTGCACCAGAAAGTGGTCATTCTCAGACTGTTAATGAGAGTGTAAATGCCAGGACCTCTCTAAGGAACAACTTGACAAGACGCACCAAGAACTTCAACTTTACTCATATCCTTGAGCCACTAAATCAGCTTAAAATACTTCATTCTAGTAAGGTAATCCACATTGTGCATGAGGATACCTGTTCAAAGATGTTCATTATTAATAATCAAAAACTAAAGACACCAAAATGAGCACCTAAATGAACATGTCAAAAGCCCTAAAGGGACAATAGAGAAATATATACATATTTGTCTAATTTATATCCAAATGAAAATACCATTCAGGTATTAAAATGTCTGTGAATGTTTTAAGAGATGGGGGGGGAAATGTTCATACATAGATGGTTAAATGAAGAAGATCTCAATGATGTAACCATATACCAGTATTATTTAATTAAATTATGAATAATTTTAAAACTTTTTTGTATTTTCTAATTTTTTTTAATAGGAAAAGCATTCACTTTATTTATAAATTATTTCCCTTTTTGAATATGTGTGCATATGGTATGAAACTCGAAAGGTACGAAAGGAAAGTAATTGCTCAGGGACCTCCTTGGATTCAGACACCCTCCCCAAGCCATGCACTTCCTTGCATCCTTCCAGGATGGTCCAGGCAACATACATACTCCCTTCAGCCCTCCCTTCCTTCTTTCTGGTTTTTAAAAATTTAAAACAAAAAATTGCTTTTCATCTTTTTTTTCCCCCCACTTAAAAGTACATCCTGGAAAACAATTCGAGATCACCCTGAAGTCACCGAAGTCACTGTATAAAAACTCTAGAAACAAACCCAAAGTCCTTATACTGCAAAATAAATCTACTTTCTTTTTAAACTGGCAGCATGGCATTCTGTTGTCTCACTGCTGTAGACCGATTTAATTATTTCCCAATTGATGAACTTCAGAGTTGTTCCTGTAAAAGCAGAACTGCCACATTAAAGGATATGTGAATTTTTTTTTAACTGAATAGATGGGGCCAAATTTTCCTCCACAGAGGGTACTCCCATCGGGCATATGTGAGGAGCGCTCTGTTTCACCAGTTTCACCAGCGCTGTCTTCCCCCCCGCCCCTCAGTCTGAAAGATGACAACAGTACCTGGCTGTTTCAGCTTATACTGCTCCTGTGTGGGAAACTGAGTTTCTTTCCACGTGTACTTCCTTTTCT